AGAATAACCAATATTGTTCCCCGGGCAGCTTGAGTTTGACACAGGTGTGTCCCATGGCAGTTTGATGGTCACTGAAGCAGAGAAGTGAGATTGTCTTCAGACCTTTGGAGGCCTTTGACTTTAGGACCTTTGAGCTCTCCAACCCAAATCCAACTTCCATATTTTAAGGAAAATTTTCCCTTTTAAAAGACTGAAATTTTTCTTTTTTTTTTTAAATTCAGCTTTTCAAATTATTTGACTATGAGTAACTCATTTAATTTAGAATTGTCTGTGAGTTCTTGGCAACCTCAACACATATTTAGAAGTCTTTTCAGAGCGAGAAAGCTCTAGCTTACACAAATTGTTTTCCAAATGTAATGGAAGTGTCACAAGCCCTGCATAGAATTAATGAGGCTTGCATGATGTTCTTCCCTAAGCGTGTGTCTATGTGTTGATTAATTTCTGTTTTTCACTTACTAAGCTTCATATTCTGCAGCTCAAAGTTTTCTTTCTTTCTTTTTTCTTTTTAATTGAGCTTTCAAACTTTTGCACAGGCCCTGGGCACCCTGCCCATTATGCCTGATGACTAAAACAGCCCTGCACATAAAACCCATGAAACCAAGCAAAGTGTCAGTGTGTGAAGTTTCCAGATGACTTCTATTCTTCATCACCCTTTCCAGAATTCTTACAGAGCCAGGGAGAGACGCACATGCTCAAAGGGCTCAGCGCATTTGCTGGGAATAGAGGATGTACACATTTGGCACACACTGAGAAACACACAGGATCCATACATTCAGCGTGATCGTGGAAAACTGAGTGTAGCCTCAGACACCTGTTATCCCAGCATCAGGGAGGATCAGAAGTTCAAGGTCGTTCTCAGTTACTTAGGGAGTTTGAGGCCAGCCTGGGGTCACTTGAGACTTTGTCTAAAGCAAACAAAACCCAAACAAAACTCGGAGAAAGGAGAAAGGAAAGAAAGGCTGGAGCCAGGACTCTCCCTTGAAGCTCCCACAATGCAGTTCTCCGCTTACTGTTCCCGTTAACTTTCCCAGTAGCCCTTGTAGTGAGTGGGCCTCTTCCCACTTCACAAATCAAAGGGCAGTGTCTGAGAGAACACTTGTAGTTTGCTGCATACACAAAGCCACAGAGCCATGGTGAGAGCCAGACTGAGGTCCACAGAGCTCCTGGCCTCCATGGTTCACAGACAGTGGGTCTAGGATTCTCATTTGCACTCCTTAGGTAGCAAATTCTGACTGTTGGCTAACATGGATGGGGTGCAGGAGGGCCAGTGGAGGCTGGAGTTTCCAGAAAAGTAGAAAGGCAAGGCAGAAGGCAGAATTCACAGTGTAGCTTTTTGGAATGATTCACTAGGGCACAGTGACAGATGAACCCTGAAGTCCATGCTGTAACAATGCGGGAGGGTTCTGAACTGTGGAAAGCCCCATCACAGTCAGACTGGACACATCCAAGCCCGCCATTGAACCTCCTTAGGGTTTCTCTAAGCGCAGTCCTGGGCCAACTCCCACTGAACTATGCAAGAAGTTTCAGAAAAATGTAGGTTTCTGGGCCTCCCTTCCTAGGCTCTCTGAAGTAGGGGCGGTGAGGCGGGCCTAGGAATCTGCATCTGAATCGATGCACCTCCCTCTCTGGGTGTCAATCTTGTTCATTAAAGCCTACAAGCTCAGAACAAGTTCCCATTGCTTCCCCATTTTCCTTAAAACGCCTCCAAATACCACAGCTGGAACTGCTGGCAACACTGGGCCTCGGTTTGTCACTATTTACAGACAGACAATCAGAAGACAAAATGATGAGAGTTATTTAGCAAACCAAACTTCTCAAATGAGAAATAAAAACAACCAAACCTGCACGTGCTCTCCTGTGCACTGAGACTGGAGTCTGACTTGAGTCACTAGGATGCCCATCCACTGGGAGTTACCGCAGCAAGGAAGACGGAGCCCAAATTCTTACAGCTGGGATTATTTCCTAGCAGCTAGGCTATCTCCATTAGGAAAGAAAATTTAAGAAGAAAGAAAGGAGGGATAAGGAAGGCGGGGGGGGGGCGGGTAAGAAAAGGAGGAAAATCAGGAAGGAAAGTGGGAAAGGAAGGGAAGAAGAAGGGTGAGCAAGAGGAAGAGGAGAGTGTGGGAAAGGAAGGGACGGGAGAGGAAAGGAAGGTTGCAGGGGGAAGGACGGGGCAAAGAAGGAAGAGAAGCAGCTAGCGAGGGATGGAGGGAAAGAAGAGTTAACATTACTCCCTTGTATGTGTGAGCCAGCGGTTGAGGGGGACAGAAGCAGGACACCTGCAGTCTCAGAGGCACCAAGACACTCACACAGGCTGCATTATGGAGGACCCTGGTGCCTGGCAGGGGAGGGCTAGGCTCACCTCTCCTGTCCTTTCCACCTAGCCTGTACCAGTCAGACCACCACTGTGGAAGCTCCCGGTTCAGCTGCAGGAGTACCTGCCTTGGTCTACACGGCTTAAAGACTTGCAGTTTCTTAGAAACCGGTTCACCGTAGCAGGGCTTGCGTGCCTTTGGCTAAACATAGAAGTCTTAGGGGTGTGGAAGTCATAAAACAAAACAATGTATGGAGTGACCTAGGGTCACCTAAGGGCCTCAGTCCCTGACATCAATGGAGGCCAGGAGAGGAGCCAAGGGAAAGACTACCTTCATCTACAACACAGACAATGCAGACAGGGCTGAAGCTCCAGGCTTCCCAGACGTGGAACTGTAAAGGAAGACATGTCACCTTCCTGCCAAGATAAACTGTGATCAAAGTCGGTCCCTCTGCCTTTCAGCCAAGCATTTCCTGTTCTGGCCTCCTCTGTCTGCCTCGAACCAGCTCAGAGGAGGGAGAGCTATTTTTAAGGTGCAAGCGTCTGAGACTAAGAATGAGAGCCTTACTTATTTATAGTTACACCTTTCAACTGTTCTTCCCCGACTGGGGATAGAGTCCAGGCTTGGCGTTCCCTTTGGAGCTGAAATCACTGGGATGTAAAGGGCTTTGGAAGGTCACATGGCTTCGTCTATGGCCTCTAGCCAGCATCCCTATCCTGGAGACAGGGAAAGCTGTTCTCCACATCTTAGTGAATTCCTCCTGGTAGACAGAACTCCGAGGTCATGTGCCCCTGAGATGTATTTTGTTAAAACATACATTTTGTATAATAGGTGATTAGGAAATGCATTCATGGTTAGGATTCCAGGGGCTAGAGAGATGGCTCAGTGGTTAAAAGCATTGGTTCTTGCAGAAGACTGGAGGTTTGGTTCTAAGCATCCACATGGCAGCTTGCTAACTCCAGTTCCAGAAGATCCAGCTCCCTCTTCTGGCTTCCTCGGGTAGCAGGTATGTGTGCGGTGCAGACATATGCAAGCAAACCACTTATATACATAAAATAAAAATAACAAGTCTTTAAAACAGACTTACTTAGAGGAAAGTAAAAGAACTGGTATCATGTAAGCAAATATTACCTAGCTTACATAGATTTGTAAATTCATCTACATTTTGTATTGGTAGAGTTGCAAACTTTTTCTGGTATCAGCTTCACCCTTCCTCTTGTAATCTGGAGATCTTATTGTATGAAATTAGTCTAGTCTTAATAGCAAACCTTGAAGGGACCACTGGAAAGTTCTGACAAATGAAAGAGGAAATCCCTTCCTTTTAATTGCACAAAAAACATTGTGGGTTTGGCTGTTGGCCTGTAAATCCAGTGTCGTTATTTTCTTCCCAGCACACACACCCATCTGACTTTGTATTTTATTGTTTCTCTCGTTGCACTGTAAGCATTTGTGAAGGCTCTGTTTAGTTTTTAATTCGCAACTTTACCACAAGTATCAAAAACACAAAACATGCCAATATTCATTATTTAATGAATGCAGTTCCAGTCATCTCAAATTGTTCTGGTTTGAGACTCTAACAGGTGGTGCCCCCTAGCATTGTGATTTGGGTACGGTCTGAGTATTCCCCTCCCCCCTCAAAAACTTGTTGTTATTGCAGGGTTGGTTTCTAGGGTGAGAGTCAGTTGAATCTCTGAGAGATGGGTGCCAATGAGAGGTCTGAGATCACTGGGGAGTGGCCCCCAGGAGAGTTGTGATGATGCTGGAAGTGCTTTTGCCATAACTGAGTTAAATCCAAAGGCAGGTCCCAGAACCACCAAACCCCGAGATTAATAAATAACTGTTCTTTCTTCATGAAGTTAGCTGTCTCATGTATTTAGTTATAATGATGAAAATCTGAGGAACACATCACATTTTCTTATATTTTTAGATGATGTTTTCCTAAATACTCAAGTATTCACCTTCTTTCTACTTTGGACATTATTAAAAGAATTACTTCAAGAAAGCAAGGATGTGTCCTTCCTAAATCCACTAACATCTATGTATTTTGAATAAATCAGTCTTAAAACCCAAAACTCTGAAGAATAAGTTGGTAGTTGCTTTGTCTACTTTGGATTGATTTTTTGTTGTTGTTGTTGTTCAGCCAGACTAATTCATGATTTAGCTAGAGGCCGAAGAAAAAGGATCCACACCATGTCAGTATGCTTGAGTAACAACAGAGGCCACACTACGCAAAGAAGAGGTAGAGAAGATGCAAGCCATTTATACACAGAATCCAGCTCTAGCAGACCCATCACACAACTGAAGAGATAGAATTGTGTGCTCAAGTCTGATCCAGAATAAAATGCCATTCTGGCTGTCAATAGTAATTGGCACATTGTAGCTCAAGAAAGTCTTGTTGCTGGATGTGATACCACAGGCCTATAATCCCAGCACTCAGAAGTCCAAGGCAAGAGGATCTTAAGTTCAAGGACAACTTGGAATGAACATATTGAGACTCTATCTTGACAAAACTATATTTTTTTGTTGTTGACTCATCAATGGAATTTGATGCAATGATACCTGGGGTAAGTCACTTAGTATGTTTGCTTTTGGGAAATTTCTAGTTATTATTTGGGGATTGCTTCTATTATTCTATATACAATGAATGACATAAAAGAAGGAACAAAATTCTAGTTAATCACTTACCTTTTTCCCAAGATGGGGTCCATTAGTGCCTCCAATGTTTCTCTGAACTGATGGTGGTACTTGATACACATCTTGTTCTGGGGTACCATGGCCAGTAGGTACTTGGTAAATCCCTTGATTCTGATAGGAGGGTGGCACTTGGTAGATGGTATCACGAGATGCTGCCTGTGAATTTGGTACTTGATAGAGTTTCTGTTGGCCAAAGGTCTGATGCATGGGTCCAGGAGTAGGCTGCTCATGACTGGAGGGCTCCTGTACTGGACCAATCAGAAGTTTCACCCGGTTGCCTGGGACAATGCCTTGGCGACCATGTAGGGAACACAGCCACCATCCCTCTAGTCCTCCTGTGTTCTGTTCTATGACAGTTAAGATGTCTCCCTTTCGGAAGGCCAGCTCCTCAGCACACTCGGGGACATTGTCATATAAGGCTCTTGCCATAAGATTCTAGGAAGGGAAAAAGAAAAAAACGGTGTTAGAATGTTAGGGCTTTTTCTGTAGAGCCCACGTGTTTAGGGACAGGCACGGTTCCTGGAAAAAGAGAAGAAATATGAACAATAGGCTGCAAGAAGGAAAGCAGATGGTTCAGACAAAAGACAGACACAGCTACACTGTGTCTGCCACCAGTGACATCAGACAGCCTCCTCGAAAAAGCTCAAAACCCCAGAAGAGATCTTCCCTCCAGGGGTGGGTGCTTTGCCAAGGCGCTGGGCTAGCATCACTCGAGTTAGGAAGGGGTCACCAGGCAAAGCATTTTTCTAACTTTTTCAAAGTGAGCTGAAGGGGAAGAATGTTCCAGGCTCTTTGTGTACCACAGTGGACTGCTCTCAATGTTTTTACATATTTCAGGCAAAAAAAAAAAAAAAAAAAAAAAAAAAGGTCAAAGAAAATCCTAAATGACACATACTACAAACAAAAATTTTATTCGGCATTGAAATGTAAATGAAAGTACATATAATTGTGCCTTGGCAGGACTTACCATATCTTTTATGATTAAGGAGGCCCTTGGATGCAGGAAGAATCTATAAGCAAAAGCACAGGGATGTACTATGGTTGTCTTTCCAGACCTAAGGGTGGAGAGGTACCAGGGATGCACTCATCCACTGCTTTGGTCTCTCTCATACCTCTCTGAGAGTCCTTCTTTACCCTGCCATGTAGTCACCTACTTCTTAAATCTTGCCATTCACATCTGACAGGCTGTGCCTTCCTTTCATGGGCTCAGAACACTCTCTGTCTTTGTATGAAGGCCTGTCTGGCACATCCAGTCCTCAGCAGACAGCTAAAGTAAGCCTTGAGCAGAGAGTGGGCAGGCAGTCTGTGCTGACATTCCTGGAAGGCTTTCAAAGGCTCTGAAGATTTCCAGTACACTGGCAGCTAGTCCCGCATGCCTGCCCCTTCCCAGGGTGCAGAGAACTGGGGGAACATAGGGAACCCATAGCAGGCATCGGAAAAACTAAATGTGACCCCTCTCGTATGTCATTTAAGCATTTGGATGCACTTAGTGTCACTGTGGTGAGGAATCATTTATGGAGCAAAAGACTGCCGGTTGGCCGGGGCACGCTTATGACTTTATTTTACACCAGAACATATTTGTGGACTTTGGGGCTGCTTTTCTTTGGACTCTGGCCCCTGTTTTCTTCTCCAGAAATGTGGACTTGATCTCTTAGTCCCATGCTTTTCATTTCTTTAAGATGGACATGCATTAATCATCTCCTCCTGGACCCTGCCTGAAACCACAGGGCTCACATTGTATGTGGTTCTCTTCTGGGGAGTGGCCGTGTATGGGAGGGGTCTGCCTCTGCTCAGGAGTGTGGAAGATGTCCAGTGCCACTGCTTTCCATTCTTGAAGTGACATAAAGTTTGTTTTATTTTCATTACATTTTAAGTTAGTTTTGAATCTTTTTCATTTTTTGATCTTATTTTTTGTCTTTTCCCCAAGGCCTCTCAAATCCTTCCCATCAATCATCTTTTTACCCCATTAACTTCATATCTCTGTCTCCCCCACAAAACAAAACAAAACAAAACAAAGGGACAAAACCCACTAAGCCATAATAACAACAACAAAAAGCACAGACAAAAATAAGCAAACAAAACCATGGCATATGTTTTCATTTTGTGTTGGTCAACTACTTCGGAATCTTCTTTTTCTTTAAACATAGCATCTTGCCATCCTGTCCAGGCAGGCTGGACTTAAGAAATCCTCCTGCCTCATCCTCCTAAGTACCGGGACTACAGTTACATGTCAGTGCACATGGCTACCCAATCCTCTTTTAGTGTGAATGCATCATTTAAGGAAGGAAGATGGAGCCACAAATATCACTAGGAGACAAGAATTCTCTGACCTCCACAGGGAGGCAGTGAGGGCAGCTAGAGTGGAACTCAATGCTTTTATTTCAGTTGAGGGTTTTACTTAGCAGCTGTATTCTAAGAAGCTCTAGGTTTCCCCTAACAATGAAAAGCTCATATAAAAAATGATAAAATCTGGCCACATCCTTGCCTGGTTTTTAGAGCCGTTAAAGGATGTGCCAGGGTGCTAAGGTCTCTTCTGCTTCTCTTTTCCCATCTTTTGGGCGTTCTGTCACTGTAAAGAAGAGTCAGGTTACAGAGGACAAGGCTCTAGTCCTTTGTCCCAGATGGCAGGGAAAGAATGACACCAGGATTATGGTTTTAGAGCTTGGAGGGAGCTGGTGGCTCTGGTCTGTCCTGTTCTCCTGGGACATTCATTAACTGGGAATGGTTGGGAAGGAAGCCCCTGGAGGAAATCATAAGTAATAGATTTGGGGCATCCCGTGGGAGCTGAAGATTAATAGCTGTGCAATCCTATGGCTTCAGAGAAGGGAAAGAAAACATTAGACAGGCAAAGGGCTACAGCTCCAGCAACCACAGTCAGCTGGAGGCAGTCACAGCTGGGCCACTTCCAAGTCGTGGAACACCAAGAGGTGCTGAGTGGGGCGCTAGGCCACACTTGATTAGAGGCAGATAGAAATCCCCATGAGAGTCTGCTCCATATGCTTTGTATTCTGTCCCCGTGACCTTCCCACTGCCTGGCAAGCAGCATGCTCATGCCTGCACTTGAGCCTAAGGGATGTTCTAAGGATAACCCCAGAGCCTCCTCCACCATGCAAAAGTAGTGGGCACAATTCTCCTGCCCTATTGCCCACAACATCTCTCCAATCTTCTCACTGCATAGACAGAATGGGATTCAGAAAGAACTTGACCCAGCTGTTAGTGGGCAAGTCACCCAGTGTCAGGTTGACACCCATCAGATATATATATCTATCTATCCATCCATCCTAGTAGATGTCAGCTTCGGTTAAATGAGACTGAGTTCTTTAACTCTATGCAATCTAAAGATAGTTGATATGTATAGCTAGTCACTCTCCTAAACAGCTCATACACACCCCCGAAGAGAGCTTGTGAGCCTGTAGCTCTGGTTTGAAGATGAGGACACAGATCTGGTGTTTCCCCAAGGCTCACACGGGTATCAGAGCTAGACACAGAGCTGGGCTTTTCTAGGTTGACTCTCTCCTCTGGGAAGCTGCTTTAGCTGTCCTATCAGGACCCTGGCTGGGCTCTGTCCCATTATGCAAGGAGGTTTTGAAGGTAATCCCCCTTTCACCCCATTTTCATGGAACAAATGAATTCTTTGGGGTTTGCAGGCCCAAATATGTTAGTAGGGCTTTCCCCTTGCACATGCTAACCTCTTCATCCCTGGATAAGAACAAGGTTGAGGCTGGGTTGCTCTTGTGAGTTTGCCATGAGGATGAGATCAGTGAATTCAAGTAAGTTTCAGCACTGCTAGAGATGGGACAAGCCATGGTAGGTTTTTATTGCATTTACTGGGTGGTGTTTCATTTCAGGCATCCGATACTCACTTTCTTCTTCTCAGTTTTCATCAAGAAACAATCCCAGAACTAGAGAAATGCCTCAGTGGTTAAGAGCACTTGCTGCTTTTCCAGAAGACCTGGGTTCAATCCCAGCTCCTACATGGCAGCTCACACCCTCATGTAACTCCAGTTCCAGAACATACAATACCCTCTTTCAGTTTCTGTTGGCACTGGGCACAGGTATACATGCAGACAAAACACCCATCACACATAGAAAATAAAAGTAATTTAGAAAGTCTTGGGTAAGAGGTGTGACTAGTGTGTGTTTACTTGGTAAGAGGTCAATAGTCCAGAAAAAAAGATAAAAGTCAGAACATAGGGTCCTCACTCCAAAGAACACTAACTCATGAGAGGGCCAACCAAGAGTTAATTCCTGTCTTGAGGTGGGGGGATCCTCTCCTTTTATAGAAAAGGTGTGATTCCCTGAGGTCCCAAAGTCAGAAGTTCTTATCTGAACATCTTAAGAAAATACCAGAGAGGCCAGAAGTCCTCTAGTAAGATCTACTCTTTCTCAACCCACAGCCCCTTGGATGTTTATCTGGGGTTGTGGGGGGAGGTCAACACAGAAACAAATCACGGAGAGATAAGAGTGCTGGGTAATTCTATACCCAGCTGGATGCCAAATTTCCAGAGATTGGCAGCTACAAAGGCAGAGAGCTTTGTTGGGGCAGGGGGCAAAACTTGAAAGCCAGAGGGATCTTCAAGGAGTCCAACTCTTCCACTTGACAACTAAGAAAAAAAAGGAGGTTCGGGAAGTTAATAATTTGTAAAGCCACCTGGCTAGAAGACCTTAGGACTTAGGTATGAAGCCAGGCCTCCCGATTCTAGGCTTCTGGGAGGAGGGGAGATAGTCTACATTTTTGCCCCTCCTTTTGGCTAGCAGACTATTGAGCTAGTGGGGCCTAAGCAATTGCAACTTCCCCAGGAATCTCATGCTGGGGGAAGGGAAAGGCTGGTGTCAGTCAGAGGAGGAACTTGTCTCCTGGGTAGAGATTTCACACAGTTCTGCCAAGCTGTCAGACCATCTTGCAGAAGAGACTGGAGGCAGACAACGATGGAGCTGTGATGGACAGGACCGCACTTGGACCAAGACAATTTAGTTATGCATATCTCTTGTCCTCTGTTGAAATTTAAATCCCACATCAGTGTCCTAGAAGATGGGCTTGGGGCTCACTGAACCCTTTTATTTGTTCTTTTCTCCAATGTGGCCATGTTAAATAAATCTCCTCTCCACTTTTCACTACTCTGCCTGACTCCTCTTCTTACTTCCAGTGTCCAAAACCAAATCCATACCCATTCTCTATTAAATTGAAGTGGGTTCTAACTTCTGCAACCCTGGCTCTCTGCGGGGAGAGTGGAATTGGTTTTCTTGAGAGTTTAGCAATTACTTAGCTCTTTAATTGATGGAGGGAACACAGGTGGCCAAGTCTAGCATGTTACGGCTGCCAGGGCTCAGTCATATATACCCTAAAACTCCAGCAAGAGTGACTGTAATGGAGATCAGATGCCAGTGTTGTAAATCCCATCTGAAGGGACCTTGTTTGTCAATCCCACCTCATG